CCAAAGGTCAAGGGGAGGGACTGGCACGCCAAAGACTTGGCTTTTTATAGTCTAGTCCGATTTATAGAAAAAAATACTTCTAACGGCAAATAATTATTATTTGGTCCAGCATAATTATTTAACATATTTCGAGTATGCTGAATCCGAGAAAATATGCTGGCCTTCATGAAAATGGCGTTAAAGAGGTCAAAATGGCGATTCAAAATGGCGGACATCCAATTTTTCTATTTTTCTCTTAATATCGTTCAAAATGGAAAAGTAATGAGTGAATATCTCACTGAGTGTAATAAAACTATAAAAATGATAATAGAATGCTAACATTATTAGTTATACTCAGGAAATTTAGTCGTTTCTGCACATAATTGGAAATTTCTCTGATTTATTTGTCTATTGTCTCTATATTCTTCTTCGTTCTAGGATTTTACATTTACAAATATCCATACACTGCAGATTTGTATTTTTTCCACTGCATCTCACTATTCTACAATTGAATGATTGTGGAGATGTAAGTTAAAAGTCAATATGGCTATTTAAAATGGCGGATATTCTTTTTTTCAAATTATTTCTTAATGTCGTTTACATAGGAGAAAGGATTTCTGAATATCTTACTGAGTGAAGTACAACTATATTCACTAAATTTTCGTAAAATACTCAAACTGCTTAATTTTGATTGTTTTGCATAAAATAAAGTATTTGGTTTTTTTTATATGTAGTATATATAGTATATTGATTAGTCCATTAAATATGAACAAACAAAAAATACTAGAAAAGATTCATTTTTTCTGGAAATAGTTAAAACAAACTCTATTTAAGAGTTTCCAAATTTCCCCCCTTGTATTTGACCGTGTTCCAAAGCCTTTGAGATCCCGTCCACCTAAAATCACTCTTGAATCACTGTCATTATCAACTCGCACTTCTACTTCAACATCCCTCAGCACACCATCAAATATAACTGAAGAAATTCTTTTCCGATTTCATCGAACACTCTGTACTAGCTTTTGAAATTAGCACTAATAAGAGCTTAGTATTATTCCCTAACATCCTCTTTTCCAGCTTTATTTGCTGTATGTTTCAGTCTGTCTTCGGAATTTTGATATTTCAACACTCAAGTTAAATTGTGCCCCGTGTCAAGGACGACAACCCCCTTGGCACGTAAAAGATGGATATGGACATAACTATCTGGAGTTTGAAAAGAGTAAGCTTACTGGGGGCCGCAAGAGAAACCACAATAGTCCGCCGAAATATGGCTGAAAAACTGCCGACTCGGCGTTAAACAATATACAATAAATCAATCAACACTCAAGGAACAACACATTTATGTTCAAATGTTACATTTTGTTTTCCAAAACCTTATGCAAAATAAACTAGAGGTACTGTGAGCAATGAGCTCACTAAATAATAGCCACCGCCTCCCATAAAGTCCATGTGTTGCAATATATTGTTTTACGGTAATGTGTAAAGAGGAATAACTCGTCCAATAAAATGTTATCTAGAAGCTTCTATATGTAAATTCATAGGTAAACATAAAATGGCAATGTCCATGTTTTGCTTTGGAAAACCTAAAATAAGTGTCGAATAAAAAAGTAAAATAGGAGGTGCACAATGGCAATATGTAATAAAGAGTCTGTGAAAGTTTCATTAAATTTCACTCAGTAGTATAAGAGGAGTTGCGGATAGGAGAAAAAGCGTAACAGACGGAAGGACGGACGGACGGAAATCCCGATTACTATATACCCTGCCACTTTTCAAGCGGGGGGTATAACTAGAGGTACTGTCACTGCTTGAAAAAACACTTTTACAAAACTTTACTTGCGAAGTAAATTTCAAGGTGTTCCAAAAAGCAAACTATAGGAGGAGTAGCATTTTGAAAGTTTTTCACAGAAATTTCTATTTTTTGTAACAACGGCAACACCGTTCTTTGAAATCAAAAACCAATGTACAGAAATGTATCTTAGTGTAGTGTACTTGTGTGCCAAGTTATAATAAAATCAGAACAAAACCGTAGGCGGAGTAGCATTTTGAATGATTTTCACAACAAATTCTATGTTTAGTAACAAAGGCAACATCGTTCATCAAAATCAAAAACCGATACCAAGAATTACATGTATGTATCTTAGTCTAGTCTACTTGTGTGCTAAGTTATATTGAAATCAGACCAAAACTGTAGGACTAGCATTTTAAATGTTTTTTACAGAAATTTCTATTTTTAGTAACAACGGCAACACCGTTCTTTTAAATGAAAAATCTACTGTAACGTGTTCTCTTCTGATACTGGATCCCTCCGTTACTAAACTGAGACCGAGAATTAAAAAAAAAACTAGAGGTACTGTGAGCAATGAGCTCACTAAATGATACCCCCCGCCTCCCATAATGTCGATGTGTTGCTTTATATTGTTTTACGGTAATGTGTAAAGAGGAATAACTCGTCCCGTCAAATGTTATCAAGAAGCTTCTATTATGTGACGTCATAGGTAAACAAAAAATGGCAATGTCCATGTTTTGCTCTGGGAAACCTAAAATACGTGTCGAATATAAAAGTAAAATAGGAGGTGCACAATGGCAATATGTAATGAAGATTCTGTGAAAGTTTCATTCAATTTCACTCAGTGGTATAAGAGGAGTTGCGGATAAGAGAAAAAGCGTAACAGACGGACGGACGGACGTACAGACGGACGGACGGACAGACGGACGGACGGACGGAAATCCCGATCACTATATACCCTCCCACTTTTCAAGCGGGGGGTATAATAATACTTAAAAATAATCGCCTGCCAAAATATACAAATACGGGGAATGTATATACAAAAGTAATCGCCTGCAAAATATACATATAAGGCGATACGAGTTCCTCTCGTATAAAATAAAATGATTATACTTAATTACTTGACAAAACAAATCACCGTTAAAAATCACTACAATAAATACTAAGTAAGATACAAAAAAATACCTAAGGCCATGCAAAGTAAATGTTGGGGTTCTCAGGCCTTTTTTCAAGAAATATGATGAGGGAGGGAGGCATTTTTTTTTTTTTTACTTTTTATTGCCCCCTGAACATGATGAGGCAGCTTTTTACATTGTATAAAACCTCTCCTGAGGGAGGTAATTTGTTGTTTTATTTTATTGGTTTAGCAATAAAAAGGGTCAATGAGGCACCCTTGGAAGAGATGAGGGAGGGCCTGAGAACCAAGCAATTAATTTTTTATGGCCTAAACACAAAATTACAGTAGTCAAAATACTACTCAACTAATGAGTAAAACCTTGCGCTCTCACAAGTGCTCAAAAAATGAGTATTCGGCTACTTAACGCTAGATTAAGATTTTTAAAGACTTCTTCTATATATTTCTATGTAAAATTTTAATTCCCTATTGTGGCCCCGCCCTACCCCTGGGGGTCCTGATTTTAACAATTTAATGTCTACACTACCCACGGATGCTTCCACATAAGTTTCAGCTTTCCTGGCCCAGTGGATCTTGAGAAGAAGATTTTTAAAGATTTGTTCTATATATTTCTATGTAAAATTTTAATTCCCTATTGTGGCCCCGCCCTAACCCCAGGGGTCATGATTATAACAATTTAATATCTACCATACCCAAGAATGCTTCCAAATAAGTGTCAATTTTCCTGGCCCAGTGGATCTTGATAAGCAGATTTTTAAAGATTTGTTCTATATATTTCTATGTAAATCTTGAATTCCCTATTGTGGCCCCGCCCTAACCCCAGGGGTCATGCTTGTAACAATCTAATATCTACACTACCCAAGGATGCTTTCAAATAAGTTTCCCTGGCCCAGTGGTTTTTGAGAAGAAAATTTTTAAAAACTTGTTCTATATATTTCTATTCAAAACTTGAATTCCCTTTTGTGGCCCCGCCCTACCCCCGGGGGTCATGATTTTAAGAATTTAATATCTACACTACCCAAGGATGCTTCCACATAAGTTTCAGTTTTCCTGGACCAGTGGATCTTGAGAAGATTTTTAAAGACTTTTTCTATATATTTCTATATAAATTTGGATTCCCTATTGTGGTCCCGCCCTATCTCCCGGGGTCATGATTTTAACAATTTAATATCTACACTACCCAAGGATGCTTCCACATAAGTTTCAGCTTTCCTGGCCCAATGGTTTTTGAGAAGAAGATTTTTAAAGACTTGTTTTATATATTTCTTTGTAAAACTTGATTTCCCATTTGTGGCCCCGCCCTACCCCCGGGGGTCATGATTTTAAGAATTTAATATTTACACTACCCAAGGATGCTTCCACATAAGTTTCAGCTTTCCTGGCCCAGTGGTTCTTGAGAAGAAGATTTTTAAAGATTTGTTCTACATATTTCTATGTAAAACTTGAATTCCCAATTGTGGCCCCGCCCTACCCCCAGGGGTCATGATTTTCACAATTTAATATTTACACTACCCAAGGATGCTTCCAAATAAGTGTCAGCTTTCCTGGCCCAGTGGTTCTTAAGAAGAAGATTTTTTAGTGACCCCACCCTATTTTTGTCTTTTCTTGATTATCTCCCCTTGTAAGGAGACTTGGCCCTTCATTTTAACAATTTAAACTCCCCTCCACCCAGGGATGTTTTGTACCAAGTTTGGTTAAAATTGGCGTATTTGTTCTTGAGAAGAAGTCGAAAATGTGAAAAGTTTACAGACGGACGGACATCGGACAAAATGTGATCAGAAAAGCTCACTTGAGCCTTCGGCTCAGGTGAGCTAAATACCATCGAATTTATAATTTAAATGCTTATCCCCCAAAATTTTATTGACATTTTTACGTTAGGTACCCTCCAAGGATAAACTCTTGCTATGTATTTGCACAGAGTTTTAAACAAATGTGCTGATTTTGAAATCCTCGTGTTCTAGATTTTCACATTTACTATCAAGAGGCCCGCTATTGACACTTGACGGGTTAAATACAGCCAAATGCAATAGGCATTGAACATTCATACAGAGAAAATATTGTGTTTACACTTACGGTAGAAATAATCAACATAACACAAGTATGATATATATTTTATGCATTTTCGTTGATTGATTTAAATTATAATCTATCAATTTAACAACAATTATTTTTGAAGTCAAACTGAAGCAAAAAGATTTCCTTCGTTATTCATGTTATTCCAATGCCTTCACACAAATATGAGTTTCTGTAACTAATGAGTGCACACTTTCAGAAAAACCCTGTTTATTTCTAAGATTTCAATAAAGTAACCATGTCATTTCATTACTTCTTTCTGTACATTCTCCCTTTCATTGTAGCCTTAGAAGGAATAGCCTCTGTGGTCTGAAAACAGAAAACGTGTAGATAAATAGGGAAAGGGACAAAACAAAGATTCCTGCATGTAACGACCATTTCTATAATATATATAAAAAAATAATAAATCGAATACAAGCAAATACATTTCTTTTAACAAAGTCGTATCATTTACTCGAACATCTGAAAAAAAAGAAACATAAAACGGTTGGTACTGGTAATTCGATACAATACATTTTGTTGTAGTGCCTGAAGGTTTGATGTTCATATAGAACATGCTCTTGTTTATCAAATTAAATAGGAGATATGTATAAAAAAAAAAAACATATGCAGGTGGTAATTAAGGGTAATTCTTATCAACCTGATCAATAAATATCTTTAACCTATTTTTCCAAATTAAAGAACTTACATAATCAACTCCTTTATTATAATTTTAATTTCCCAAAGTAAATAACTTACATAGTCCAAAACATCTCCATTAACCTTTCTGGTGACGATGAATTCTCGGTTTTTGCCGTCATCAGTATTTGTTACGGCGTGTTCTTTCATTTCACAGTCGCTTATCACGGTGAGTGTCGACTAGAAATATTATCAAGTTTACTGTCAATATTTCTAATGAAAGGTTATATTAATAAAATTAAAATGAAAAAAAAATGTGAAGATAGTGATCTTAAATGCGTAAAGGAAACGTTATCACTTGAAAATAATATATGAAGTATTTCCATATAGTAAATATTTTTTTCCTCTATAAAGATATTGTAATTTAAAAAGAAATTCTTTACACTTTTTAGGATTTTTAGCGGTAAGTTTTGTACTGAACAGAAAATACGCTCATGAATATGTGGTATGAACTCTTTCTGGTCAATAGCAAGAATCATAACAAAAAGATAATACATTCACCTTTACATCCGATCCATCAGGACCCTTTGTGTCAAACTCTTTCCCTATCTGAATATTAACCGTCGTGGGCTTGTCGGGACACAGTGAGGAAAGCCATGTTATTTTCCAATTTTCTCCGTTACATTCGTATGTTACCGTTGTCCTTACGTTCCTGTATTTTTCCTTGTATTCCCCCAGTCCTGTAATATACAAACAGCAAATGGCAATTACTTATTTAAAGATTATCCTTCTCAAATCCTATGAGAAATTTCATGTCAGTTTAAGAGGTGGTATTTACTATCATAATTAGGTTATCGCAAAGGCCTTTAATGCTTGCTTTTAATTGTTCCAATCTTTTTTACGACCAACTCGTATAGAAGGTCCGATTGTTACAGCCTCCTATGTTTAAATTATAAACTCATCTGTACAATATTTTCTGGAGAAAAATATAAAAATGTACTTACCTATTGCATCCATAAATGCATCAAAGCTTGGATCTAATTCTTTTTCCACCCATGTTCCATTGAATTTAGACATTTTTTTTCCAGAAAATAGCAATTCGTGCAAGCCTCGGTAAGAGTAAACTAAGATCCGGCTTGTCTGCTTTAAGACTATTTAAAATGACACAATCAATTTGTATTTCTTATCGCCTGAAAACAATATGCAGGTATCAGTTGGTGTCCTTAATTTTTACACAAAGGCTTTATCGAATTAATCGTACTAGAATTTAAAGTAGATTTGTATGCACAAATCTCAAAGGTTTTTTAAACCTTTTTGTCTATTTAATTTTTCAAACACTAAATGAGATTTGATAGTAAAGTCTATATTTTAAAGATACCATAGATGAATCATTCAAAATATCAAATCAGTGCCATGATTTGAAATTTGTTTGAATTAGCCTACGATAATTTTGAATGATCCAGAAACATCTAGATCCGGTTGTATCAACAGTTAATTAATTATCAAACTTAATGAATCATTAAATTCTTTATGACGCATTGGTTGATGAAGGTGTGTCGTACAATTCCTGCTTTAGAGTCTTATGAATTAATGAATCATTAAAAAATAGGAATTCATTAAATGTCTATTAACATCAGAACAATAGCCCACAACGCATTGCATTTACTACTCCATCAGCAGAAGGATAAAATGTACGCAGAACTAGGACCTTAGGTCCCCCGCTCAGTTCACGTCTATCGGGTCTGTTTACTCCGCTACAAAATGTAGTGAGTTGCATTCCTAAAGTGAAAATAAAATAAATCGGAATACTGTGAAGCCTTTTCAGTGTAAAAAAAAACCCAGAAAATTTATTTTTGTCAAGGGAATAACCATCTGTGGTGGTTTTTAGAAAACACAGAGGGGGAGGGGGGTTGCTGAGCAACATTAACTGCAATATTATAAGATATATGATTTATTAGAGTTTAACATTTATGGATTATGTTAGGTGACCTGTGGTCTCATCTATGATTTTATTATTCCATGTAAGGTTATAGTATCTATATAACACAGTGCCTAACCTCTGATCTCCTTACTAATAGTAAGAGTAAACGACGTACGTCCAGTCTCTGCATTCGCAGATCTCTAACAAGCAGGGTGGGTGGGTGAAGATTTTGCCCCCTACCACCCCCTTTTCATTTCGCTTGGACTTTTCACCAATCCTTTAACATAATGAAATAATTATTTGTTAATAAATAATTTAATGTCTCTTTTGTCTTCCTTATGAGGTCATGCTTAAATTGGCGACCTCTAACACTCTTTGCCGGAAATCCCTGATTTTTATTTATCTTACAAAGAAGATGTACACCCTGTATTACAAAGTTTGGGGCTGCATGGAGTTCTCCCCTTTCCCTGGAATTAAAACATCAAATTCATAAACCCATCAAAACTACATTTAAACAAGAAGCCCATGGGCCACATCGCTCACCTGAGCACTAAGGGTAGGAAAAAGTAGAAAATGGTTTTTATTGTAAAGTTTAAATCAACAAGAGGCCCATGGGCCACATCGCTCACCTGAGCACTGTGGCTAGGAAATAGTAGAAAATTGGTTTATTATTGAAAAGTTTTAATCCAAAATAAGTCCCATGACCAATCATGGCTTTACTATTCTTGAGAAGATGATTTTTAAAGAATTTTTCTATATCTTTCTATGTAAAACTTTGGTCGGCAATTGTGGCCCCGCCCTACCCCCGGGGGTCATGATTTGAACAAACTTGAATCTACACTACCTGAGCATGCTTTCATATAAATATTACCAATCATGGCTTTGTATTTCTTGAGAAGAAGATTTTTAAAAAAAATTTCTTTATATTTCATTGTAAAACTTCGGTCGGCAATTGTAGCCCCGCCCTACCCTCGGGGGTCACGATTTGAACAAACTTGAATCTTCACTACCTGGGGATGCTTCCATATAAATATGATGAATTATGGCTTTGCTATTCTTGAGAAGAAGATTTTTAAAGAATTTTCCTATATATTTCTATGTAAAACTTTGGTCGGCCATTGTGGCCCCGCCTTACCCCCGGGGGTCATGATTTGTACAAACTTGAATCTACACTACCTGAGCATGCTTCCATATAAATATGAACAATCATGGCTTTGTTATTCTAGAAAAGAAGATTTTTAAAGAATTTTCCTATATATTTCGATGTAAAACGTTGGTTGGCCATTGTGGCCCCGCCCTACCCCCGGGGGTCATGATTTGAACAAACTTGAATCTACATTATCTGAGGATGCTTCCATATAAATATGACCAATCATGGCTTTGTTATTCTTGAGAAGATTTTTAAAGAATTTTCCTATATATTTCTATGTAAAACTTTGGTCGGCCATTGTGGCCCCGCTATCCCCGGGGGTCATGATTTGAACAAACTTGTATCTACACTACCTGAGAATGCTTCCATATAAATATGACCAATCATGGCTTTGTATTCCTTGAGAAGATTTATAAAGAATTTTCCTATATATTTCTATGTAAAAGTTTGGTCGGCCATTGTGACCCCGCCCAACCCCCGGGGGTCATTATTTGAACAAACTTGAATCTACACTACCTGAGGATATTTCCCCATAAGTTTCATCTTTCCTGGCATAGTGGTTCTTTAGAAGAAGATTTTTAAAATATGCCACCAAATTTCCATTAATTCCCAATTATCTACCCTTGAATAAGGGCGTGGCCCTTCATTTGAACAAACTTGAATCCCCTTTACCCAAGGATGCTTTGTGGCAAGTTTGGTTGAAATAAGCCTAGCGGTTCTTGAGAAGAAGTCGAAAATGTGAAAAGTTTACGGACAGACAGACGGACGGACAGACAGACGGACGCCGGACAAATGTGATCAGAAAAGCTCACTTGAGCCTTCGGCTCAGGTGAGCTAAAAAGTAGTCCCATGATCAATCATGGATTTGCTATTTTTTAGAAAATGATTTTTAAAGAATTTTCCTATATATATCTTTAAAAACTTTGGTCGACCATTTTGGCCCCCCTACCCCTGGGGGTCATGATTTGAACAAATGTGAATCTACACTACTTGAGCATGCTTCCATATAATTATGATGAATTATGGCTTTGTATTTCTTGAGAAGATGATGTTTAAAGAATTTTCCTATATATTTCTATGTAAAAATTTGGACGACCATTTTGGCCCCGCCCTACCCCCGGGGGTCATGATTTTAACAAACTTGAATCTACACTATCTGAGCATGCTTCCATATCAATATGATGAATTATGGCTTTGTCATTCTTGAGAAGATGATGATAAAATAATTTTCCTCCACATTTTTATGTGAAACTTATGTCGGCCATTTTGCCCCCCCCCCCCCTTCCCCCGGGAGTCATGATTTGAACAAACTTGAATCTACACTATCTGAGCATGCTTCCATATCAATATGATGAATTATGGCTTTGTCATTCTTGAGAAGAAGATTTTTAAAGAAATTTCCTATATATTTCTATGTAAAATTTTGGTCGGCCATTTTGGCCCCGCCCTACCCCCGGGGGTCATGATTTGAACAAACTTGAATGTACACTACCTGAACATGCTTCCATATGAATTTGATGAATTATGTCTTTGTCATTCTTGAGAAGAAGATTTTTAAAGAATTTTCCTCTATATTTCTATGTAAAACTTTGGTCGGCCATTTTGGTCCCGCCCTACCCCCGGGGGTCATGATTCGAACAAACTTGAATCTACACTACCTGAGCATGCTTCCATATAAATATGATGAATTATGGCTTTGTCATTCTTGAGAAGAAGATTTTTAAAGAATTTTCCTATAGATTTCTATGTAAAATTTTGGTCGGCCATTTTGGCCCCGCCCTACCCCCGGGGGTCATGATTTGAACAAACTTGAATCTACACTACCTGAGGATATTTCCCCATAAGTTTCATCTTTCCTGGCACAGTGGTTCTTTAGAAGAAGATTTTTAAAATATGCCACCAAATTTCCATTAATTCCCAATTATCTCCCCTTGAATGAAGGCGTGGCCCTTCCTTTGCACAAACTTGAATCCCCTTAACCCAAGGATACTTTGTGGCAAGTTTGGTTGAAATTGGCCCAGCGGTTCTTGAGAAGAAGTCGAAAATGTGAAAAGTTTACAGACAGACGGACAGACAGACGGACGCCGGACAAAATGTGATCAGAAAAGCTCACTTGAGCTTTCAGCTCAGGTGAGCTAAAAAGGAAATAAAATTTAAAAAATGAACCAATTGTTATTTAACTTTGGGATACATATACTGTATTTGAAGACGAGCAAGTTGACTAGTCCTCCAAATTCCAATTACATAAACATGTACATTTTGAGAATTCGGAGAAATTGTGCACTTTTCCCTCGGTCAAAAAATCAGGGTCGCAATTCTTTTTTTTTGAGAGGATTTGAAAAATAATTCTACACATACCATGATTTTAAAATATTGCCTACTTACAACTTTCAATAACATCGTAATAATGTACAACATAAGATTACAGTTGTCTCATTCATATACTACAATTTGTGAAGTATGAAATCCTTATTGATGGACAATATACTAGTAAGACTTCCGCTTGTTTCCATAATCTTTATGCGAATATCGGAGGTGATAAAAAGATAATAAGACCAGAGGTCACTTTATATCGTACATCTTTAGGTCGACCATAAGTCACCTTATATTGTACATTAAAAGGGAGACCAGATGTTATCTTCTTTTCTACATCATATGGGGGACCAGAGGCCATCTTATTTTGTACATCAGTAGGGGAACCAGAGGTAACCTTATATTGTATATCAGTAGAGGGACCATAGGATACCTTATATTGTACATAAGTAGGGGGACCAGAGGAAACCTTATAATGCACTTTACATAAGAATGGGGATCAAAAGTTATCTTATACTCTTAATCAGTAGGGAGACCAGTAATCATCTTATTTGTACATCAGTAGGGGACCCAGAGGACCTCTTATATTGTACATCGGTAGGGGGACCAGAGGAAACCTTATATAGTACATCAGTAGGGGGACCTGTGGTAACCTTATATTGAACATCAGTAGGGGACCAGAGGACACCTAATATTACACTTTAGATCAATAGGGGGACCAGAGGGCACCTTATATTGTACATCAGTAGGGGACCTGTGGTCACCTTATATTGAACATCAGTAGGGGA